CTAAGAAGGACAAAGGCAGCTGACATACAAGAAAATGATGGCATCTGAATAATCAGGGAAGGCACTCAGCACATACAAATTTGGGTAGAGAATTACAGAAAAATGATATGGGAGTAATTTCAGTTGTACCCAAAATATAATTTTAAGAAAAGAAGCCTACATTTAGAAAGAAAGAAGAAAAAGATTTAGGTCAATTCTAGGACACAAATCTTGCAAATCTCCTCAATCCTACTTCTGTCATTATAAAAACGAAACCCAGAGAACTCCCTGGCCATCCTTCATCTTTTGTTAAGTATATATTACATGCAGATGACTTTCAGCAGGTTAGTAAACTATTCATTCCAAATGAGACATGAGTTCTTGTTGGTCATGGTCAACCCAATTGATGATCATGAAATACCAATGTGAAACAACCTTACTTTCCAGCCAACATACTTTTAAAGTAGGACTACATTTGCAGAAGTTATCGATATGTGTCACTTTCAGGCAGAACTACTTAGCAGCCCATTTTTATTCCCCAGCCTTCTTTTTTTCCCTCCTGTAGCAAGGCTAAAATACACACTGAGCTGGAAAGGCCATACAGAAAAACAACCTGGATCCCTGAGTAGCCACATGGAGGAGAGCTGTGCTACAGAAACACCCAAACCTAGAGGATGAACAGGAAATAAGATTGTATATGTTAAACCACTAAGACTTGGTTTTGTTACTCTAGCAAAATGCAGCTTATCCTAACTAATGCACCCACTAACTTCGTCCTTTAAAAGACATATTGGTATTAATGTGAATACATTTAACATAACTTTTGCAATTCTCTTGATTCTCAAATAGCATAGGATGTTTAAATAGCAATATGTGTGTGTGTGTGTGTGCTTGTGTGTGTATTTTACTCTTTTTTTTTGTATCAAGGATTGAATTTAGGGACACTTGACCACTGAGCCACATCCCCAGCCCTATTTTATTTAAAGACAGGGTCTCACTGAGTTGCTTAGCACCTAAATTTTGCTGTCGGGCTTTGAACTTGTGATCCTCCTGCCTCAGCCTCCCAAGTTCCTGGCATTACAGATGTGCACCACTGTGCCTGGGTAAGCAATCCATATAAAACCAAGCCCATATAGGGACTTTTTTGATTCAATGTAACTAAATGTCATATATAAAACACAAATTTATATTACTTCCTCTATTCCCATTACCTACTATAAAAGGCAATACTAAAGAAAATTATACAGCTTTGTACTACAACAGTGCCAAGAAAAATTATGACCTCCGATGAGAGCTAGGACTGCAAAGGCTCCAGAGCATATTCCCTCATACAGGTCTTTTTTCCTACATGTTCTTCTCAGCCTATGTTCCAATTTTCACCAATTCCCTATGATCTATATCCCATAAGTTTCCCTTAAATCTTGGAAGACTATACTTGCTACATGTCAGGAAAATAGAGAACAAAATAAAATCATTCTTCAAATCATTAGTTTCTTCATCAATAATAATATCCACATTCAAACCAGAAGATAGAAGAATAAGAGTCTATATTCCCTTTGTCATCTCATAAACATCACTTGAACAACTATCAAATATAACAAAAGCTCCTCAAAGGAGCTGAGGAAACTAGGAGAGAACTTATAGCCCCTGGCTTAGCACAGAAACAAGAAAAGACATGTGGCAAGTGACGTAAGAGAAACTTTTGCAATACCTGCATCACCCTCTCCCCCAACACCAGGCAGCACAGCAGAGAAAGAGATCTGCTTTTCCTGGGGGAAGCAGAGGAAGGTGAGAGCTGGACTTTCCTTTGGACACAACACCAAGCCTGCCTCACTCAAACCCAGAGCTGACTGCACAGCTGGTCTGCTCTCCATGCCCACAGCACCAGCACACTGACCCCAGCAGCTTCAGACCTTCAGCTTGTCCCACTTCCAGACCAGTCCACATAGATTCAGCTTCAGGCCTGTTCCCAGCAGCTGTGGACACTGTTGGTGGAAATGGGGCAGCTGCTATGGAAAACAGAAAGAAGATTCTTCAATTGCTTAAAAATCAAACTACCATATGATACACAAACCCCATTTCTGAGTATTTATATAAATGAATTGAAATCAGAATTCAACTTTCTTAATGTCTAAAACTATTTCAAAACAAAAGACAAACAAGACATGTGGTGTACACCTGTGATCCCAGCAACGGGGAAGGCTGAGGCAGAAGATCACAGGTTCAAGGCCAACCTCAGCAACTGAGCCTGGCCCAAGAAACTTAGTGAGACCCCAAATGAGAAAAGTAAGAAAGGGCTTGGACTGTAGCTCATTGTTTAAGCACCCCTCAGTTCAATTTATAGTACCCCAAAAGGACAGTGGGGGGAAAAACTCCATAAAATGAAAGAATTGACATAAAAAAACATAAGAAATATCTATAGTCAGTCTGTTAATGATTGTGGGATAGTTAAAGAAGTGGAAATTTTTCAACATTCTTATGTAGATGAATGGATAAATAAATTGTGGGATATATATTCAATGGAATGCTCTTAAGTCTTACAAAAGAAGGAAACCCTATCATGTGAAACTTTCTTTATAAGGATTTTTTTTTCTTTATAGGGGATAAAGCTTGAATACACCATGCTAGATGAAAAAAAAAAACAATTAGAGGGGATCAAATACCCCATTATTCCACTCATATAAAATATCTCAAAACTTCAAACTCAAAGAAATAGAGAGTAGAGTGGTAGTTACCCTAAGCTAACTGAAAAGAACAGTTCAGAGTGTTCATTCAACAGATACCAATTTGAATTATGCAAAATTGTTCCATTTCTATAAAATTGATAGCATTTTAATATTTGTACTGTAATTTTAGTTTTCTTGAACTTTTGTTGCATTTTTATTATTTTTTTCATCATATAATGTATCTGTGTTGCTTGGTTATGGAAATTTATTGTGCATTCCATCTCTAATGCATATCTTTATTATCCTTTTTACCATTACAATCAAAATTGACTAAGAAAATAATAAATGAGAGGAGGACTGTAAGTGTGGTTGGCGGTACATAAGGGCAATAAACTGACAATTACTGAGAGCAGAGGTGACTCTTTCCTATTCTGTCCTGGACTTCAGGAATGCCTCAGTTTGGTTTAAAGGTTAATAGAAAAAAAGAGTGTTTCCAGTGAGGTTGCAGCCATTTTTCATCACCTCAGAAGATGCAGGAGACAAGATAGTGGTGTGGCCTCCTTTCCAGAGTGCTCTGTGTGTCTTTGTCCACAGTGTTCAAGTGACTGTGGTGTCCTCAGTAGCTACTGTTGGAAGCACGATGCCTAAGTCTAAGAATCAGTATTCTCTCTTTCCCTTAGCTAGGGAAATGTGTCATCTATAAGATTCGCTTGAAAGAAGTTGACATCCTTATGGGTTTTAAATTATGCAGTCTTTGGTAGCTGGGATGCTGCCATCTACATCTCTTCAGTCACTAATAAGAATGCACAATCTTCAAGCATCCTCAGACACAGAGTCTTGGCAGTTCTATCTTTTAGAGCAACCATACCTTTGACATCAATCATGTTTCAGAGAAGAATTATTCTCTGGTTTCTATGTCTAAACCAACCCAAATCCCAGGCCATGCTCAAAAAGTTACAATTAGAAACAAAACAAAACAAAACAAAAAACAAACCCTATAATGAATTTTCCAAATTTTATTACTAAAGTTTCATCCTAAACTGTAGCCTGGACATACTTTTAGCCCCACCTTAAGTAACTTTCTAAAACTAGCCACTACTGATGTTTATGGGTACCAAGGGGGAGTAAGCAGAGGACTATTACTGTTGCCTTGGAAATTAGCAGAGCCAATTACGGATCCTCATGGGTACTTGAGAGGTCAAAGCATTTCCAAACCTAGCAGTCTGTGAAAGTCAATTTAAACATTTCTCTAGAGTCCATGAGGAGAGAATTATAATAAAGGGTTCATGAGCCACTGACAGCAGCAGAGCCATGATCTACAAGATGGAGACTTGTTTGCGAGGTCCCACTCCTGAGCTGAGAACTTGAGTTAAGATGAAAGGAATCCCCTCTCCACATTGCTCCTAGGCTCTTAGGAAGGAATAGTTTGGTGAAATTGATTGAGAAAACAACGTTCAAACCATGAGATTTACTTATGTTTTGTTGTTGTCTTTAATGACTTTTCCTTATTTGGATAATTAGGCTGTATTCCTTTTGTTTTTAATTTGAATTGGATATAGTTCAAACTACCTGAAAATATGTTTTTCTGAAAAATTAATACAGAAGATTCATTTATGCTTTCATAAGAAACCAAGGAAATGAGCAGAAATTAAGTACTAGAGTTATCAAAGCTTCCTAACTAAAATTGTTCAGTTTTCTGAGTAAATTCAAACTAACAATGGAACCAAATACACTAAAAGGTCCACCTTGGAGAATTGTCTAAAGTGACATTAATTCCAGTCTCAGGTTCATGGAGTCCATGGATTGCAAATTCTGAGAGGGGAAGAAAACATCGACATAGAATTCCACCATCAACAGACCCAGGTTAGTGAAAGCTAAACATTTTTCTCCAAAAATTTCAGCACAGTAACTTGATTGATCCAACTTTTTTTTCTCTGAAGTTGTTTTTGTAAATACATATTTGATTGAAAGTTTAGTATTTTATTATGAAAATGAATTAAGACACAAATTTCCACTGAAAATATCAGTGGAAAATATAATCTGCAATTTTTCCAAATCAGTTGCTGGTAAGAATGACTGGAGTCACTTTTAAGACACTGTGGATAATATTATTGTCTCACTAAATACACTGAATCTGTAGAGTTCTGATTGTAAAGGTTTAAAAATTTCTCCTATACCTGACTTTCATTTGCCACTTTAAAATAAGACTGTGAATTAAGTCCATAAAAAATTAAATTTAAAAATTAAAAAAAGAAAAATTAATAACTGTATTTATCATCCACAAGAGTCAGAATAGAAAGGAAACTATTCAGGCATAGAGCTTCCCTGCCACCAAAGACATTTTTTCACACTTTTATGGAAGCTGAGAGGTCTTGAGGCTGACTTGTGTGTCTAGATTTTTTTTTTTAAATTATGTGGTTATGAATGATTTGGGGCAGGGATTGGGAAAAGAAGTATAAAAGTCTGAGAAAAAAATAAAATACCTAATGCTCATTTGTAACAATATGAATTTAATCTTGAAAACCCAGGCCTAGGTAATTCAAGAAAATGGAATATTTTTAAAATTTTTGCATATATTCAATACTTCCATAAGTTAGCCATGAAAATAATAAATAGACTTAACTAACTGAATTTATGCTAACTATGATAATTGTATCCTCTTATCAGATCCTAATATATATGTCTTCTCAATAGAAAATTCAGGGTAAATTCATGTCTCTTTTAGTTCCATTTGTAAAATGTGAGTGGGGAAATATATCTAATCCAGAGCGTAGCACTGTATCTGTTAAAATTCCAAAAAATGCAAAGAAAATTTATTTGTGAAATGTTGTGAACTTTCAGGAGAATCTTGTACCATTTACATCTATATCCAAAGGTGTAGAAAGAAGTAGCATGAAAGGGTGGCATAGAGACAGGCACAATATCTGGAGTTTTAGAATGAATTGTTCTCACTGATATGTAGTAAAGATAATTCCTTGGCATTCAGAAAAAGAAAAAAAAACTCTATCTGCAGCTCTATCTCTATGTGCATGTGCATTCAAATGAGGTAGAGGAACCAAGGGTCAAAAAACACAAATGGTTTAGATTCAAAGAGACTTGACACCCTGATATAGGATACAGTTGACTTTAATAGAATATTGTGTTCATATATCATATCCATGAAGATAAAGAAATAGAACTTAAAAATAATTGTTATGATATTTGCACTCCTCCCAGCAATGAAAGAAAGCCATCTTTGAGATTTTTTTAGAGAAAGAAAGAATGTTCAGAAGCCAAACATAAGTCAGTGTTCATAACAGCATCTTGCTTTCTTGTGGTACCTCTAAGGTATTGTCACTATTTTATAAAAATGAATTAAGAGAAATCTAACATCCTTCTGTTCTTTACAACTACCTGTAAAACAGCTGAGGTAAATAAAGTCTAACTCCATCCATTGCAAGACCAGGTCTCACAAGGCAATGGAGTACTTTAACACAGAATTTGAAATGTCATCACTCAGAAATGTTGTGATTTTTTTTTCCAGATGAACCATGATATGCCCCAACACAAGCTAACTTGACAGGAGAGATGAGCAATGTAACAGAATTCATCTTGCTGGGCCTGACCCCAAATCCACAACTGCAGAAACTCTTATTTACTGTGTTTCTACTGACCTATTTGATCACACTGGCAGGTAATATGCTCATCTCCATCACCATCTTCATCAGCCCAGCCCTGGGCTCTCCCATGTACTTCTTTCTGTCCTGTTTATCCATTATAGACGGTTTCTACTCTTCTTCCATAGCACCCAAAATGATCTTTGACTTGATCTCTGAAAAGAACACCATATCCTTCAGTGGCTGCATGACTCAGCTCTTTGCTGAACACTTTTTTGCTGCAGCTGAGATCATCCTGTTAATGGCCATGGCCTATGACCGCTATGTGGCCATCTGTAAGCCCTTGCACTACATGACCATCATGAACCAGCAGCTGTGTGGTTTCCTGGTGGGGGCGGCTGGGGTCTTGGGGTTTATTCATGGAGGGATACAGATTTTGTTTATGGCTCAGTTACCGTTCTGTGGACCCAATGTCATCGACCACTTTATGTGTGATTTAATTCCTCTCCTGGAGCTGGCCTGCACAGACACCCGCACTTTGGGGCCCCTGATTGCTGCCAACAGTGGGTCACTGTGTTTGATCATCTTCATCATGCTGGTGGCTTCCTATGTCATCATCCTGCGCTCCCTGAGGTCTCACAGCTCTGAAGGGCGCCGCAAAGCCCTGTCTACCTGTGCCTCTCATGTCACAGTTGTCATCTTATTCTTTGTACCTTGTTCATACCTATACCTTAGACCTGTGGCCTCCTTCCCTGCTGACAAAGCTGTGACTGTGTTTTGTACCCTAGTGACACCTATGTTAAACCCTTTGATCTACACCTTCAGAAATGAGGAAGTGAAAAAGGTTCTGAAGAAACTCTGGAATCAAATGATGAAAGTTGATGAAAAATAAGCCCTGTGGGTAGTGCACTAGGAAGAATATTGAGTGATATTTTATAAAGCTCTATTCTCCTTGACTCATTAAAATTGGGATGGTCGATTATCCTCTGTGCATCAAAATTTTAATTGGCATATAATCGTATATATTTATGTACAGTGTGATCATTCAGTGTATGTAGAGTGTATATAATAATCAAATTAGGGTACTTAGAATTTCTACCTCCTTAAATATTATTACTTTTTATAATGGGAATCTTTAAATTCATCTCTTCTAATTCTTTATAAAATATGTAATAAATTGTGAACTACATTAACCCTCTTGTGCTGTAGAATATTAGAACTTATTCTCCCTATGTACTTAGAATTCCTACCTCTTTAAACTTTAGTATTTCTTCATGCTTGGAATTTTTAAACTCCTCTTTTCTAATTATTTATAAAATATATTTTAAAATGTGAACTATAATCACCCTCCTGGGCTGTAGAACAGTAGAACTTACTCTTTCTACTAACTTTTAATAGCTTTTTCATTTCTGTGACTAAAATATCTGACAAGAACTTAGGGGATTAAAAGTTGATTTGGGCTCATAGCTAGAGGTTAGGTCCATTGTGAGCCAACTCCATTTTTGTGGACCCAAGTTGTAGCAGGACATCCCAGGGGAAGACATGGTGAAGGAACACTGTTTCATTCATGGTAGATAGGAAGCAGAGAGAGAGAAGGCAGGAAGGAACCACAGATAAGATACCTCCTTCCAGGGCTTTCCTTGGTCACCCACCTCTTGTAGCCACACCCCACCTACCTACACTTATCCCTCAATCCATCCGTTCAAACTAGGATAGACTGACTAAGCTACAGCTCTCAGAATCATTCCACCTCTGAATGTTCCTGCATTGACACAGGAGCCTTTGGAGGACACCTCATATCTAAGCCATAAGAAAGCACATTTTGGTTCTCATTATCCAACCGTCTGTTCCTCCTCCTCTTCCACATGCTTCCTAGACTCCAGCAACCACTATTCTACTTGAAACCTCTTTGCAATCAACTTTTTTAGCTTTGACATGGTGAGAACATGCAGTGTCTTTTTTATTTCCCTTACATAATGTCCTCTAGTTCTGTGCATGTTGCTACAAATAACAGAATTTCATTCTCTTTATGGCTGAATATTATTCTATTATACATACACATTATTACTTATGAGTATGATTCGCATATACATCACAGTTTCTTTATCCACCCATACATTGGTGGATACATCAATTTTTATTATTAGCCCATACAGGGAGATAGTGCCAAGAGACCATGATACTTTAAGGAATCTGTGCATTGCTTCATTTCTTGAAAACAAGAATAAATATAATCCAAATCCAACTTGGGTTATATTCATCTTTATACGAATGCACTCATAAAATATAATTTTTAATATTTTCTTGAATGGATATATGAGGGCAAAATTACCAAAGATTCAGAAGGGGTCATATTGTCAATCTCACTGTGGTGTGACACGTCAAGGGCAATATTTTTGTCCCCTTTTATGCTCTTCATTATAGCCATACTGAAGTTGTATTGTGAAAGAGGAACAGAAACTATACATGAAAAGACTGTAGAGCAGTAGGAAGTTTCTTTAAAAGTACATTAATCAAAATATGCTTTTCTTATCTTCCTGAGTTTGAGAGGTTAACAGAAGTTCCATTACAGCAATAGAAAACTTTTCACTTAACACAGTCACACAAAGAGCATTTTCACCAAGAAGCTTATTTTGACAATTGCATCTCTACTATTCATTCCTTCTAGTGTATAATTATCCAAAAAAGGAAGTAGAAGAAGAATTGGCTGGCACAAAAGACAGAAAATGAACAAATCTTGAAGTGTTAAAGCTGAAAATATCTGAACACTGAAGTTGGGTTTTAGACAGGAACAAAGGAGAAGAAAGTTCTGAAAACAGCTGTTACAGGAAATTACAAGTGTAAGAACAAGTTGTGTTGTGGAACTGAATGATAATGTTCTCAAATCTGGATCATAGAAAAAATCCTAATCATGAACATAATAAAATACTAAAAGATTTAGAAACTGCAGATGCTTTGATATCACAGAGTAAGAGCTTTAGAAGAAACCATACATCACGTGTACGGCCTGATGAAATATATAGATATACATTGCTAAATGGATAAATTGAGCTAATTAAACATATGTGTTACCTCTTATCACTATCCTTTCAGTGCTAAGAACTCTTAAAATCTAATTAGATGAGCTTGAATTTTATTTAGCTAAAATTTGGCTTAGGCAGAATTCCAGTCTCAATATAACTCAAAGCCCTTGTGCTTCACCCAACCTCACAGTGACTTCCCCCAGATATACACAAATGAGTTGATTTTCTATGTTTGTTTAAATTTCTAATATTTTATTTGGAATTCTCTTTTTTGAAATCCCCCTGACTTCATCTGCTTTCACAAACAGACCTGGCTGAAAATGTTGTCTTCAAAGAATCAGCTGGTGATTTGTCAGTAATTTATAACTCCACGAATGTTTTGATTCTCACATAACAGGAAACGTCTTTGAAATTATTTCTCTCTCTTTCTTTAATCTTTGAGTTTGAAGAAGTAGCCTGCAGCTTGCAAAGTGGTACTTTCCTCTGATACATAAAAACAGAAGACAAAGATCACCAAACATAAATACGTTGTTTTAGTCAGCTTTTCCTCTCGCTGACCAAAATACCTGGCTAGAACAACTTAGAGGAAGAAAAGTTAATTGTGCTTCACAGCTTCAGAGGCTCAGTCCATGATCTGCCCATTCCATGGCTCTGGGCCTAAGTGAGGTGGGACATCGTGGTGGAAGGGCATGGCTGAGGAAATCAGCTCAGGACCTAAAAACCAGGAGATAGAAGAAGAAATCCAATCACGGTGGTCAAACTATAAACCTCAAAGGCATACCCCCAAGTGACCTACTTCCTCCAGCCACACCATACCTGCCTACAGTTACCACCCATTTAGTCCACATCAGTGGGTCAATCCACATATTAGCTTATGCTTCTTTTTTAAAAAAATCTTTATTTTATTTATTTTTATGTGGTGCTGAGGATCGAACCTAGCGCCTTGCACATGCTAGGCAAGCACTCTACCACTGAGCCACAACCTCAGCCCCTAGCTTATGCTTCTTAATCTAATCATTTCAGCTCTGAAGATTATTGAATGATTACACACAAGAGCTTTTGTGGGACATCTCATATGTAAACCATAAAATATGTACCCATCCTAATATTTTCCATGAAGAAAGAAACTTCACATGATGAACAGGTGTTCAGAGAGGTGAACAAAAAAAATCCTATTTTTAAGGTATTTGCCAGTGGCCACATAAGAATGAATCATAAAATAAAAAATTCAAATACAGGTATTCTCCCTTTGTACTCACTACTATTCTTTTTACAGCACTTAAAATCTGGAGGTTTAGGTAATTTTTAGTATTGATTCTTCTGTTTTCCCTTTTCTCCATCTCAGGGAGGGAACTAGCATTTATCACACTTCTGTCACTAGGCAGCTACTACTGTTTCCATGTGCACTCTCCTTTTACTGGGGCATAACCTAAGGAATGACATACCCGTATTTGGACAAGGAAATGGAGCATCTGAAAGGTGGTTCTTGCTTAAGGTGCCTTGTAAGCTGAACAAAGAACTAATTTACACTCCAGAGTGTCGTTTCCATCTTTCAGGCTAGCAGAGTCTTAGCCAAGTCTGTAGATGAAGTCAGTTATAACAACAGAGCAACAATTGACAATAAAAGGGTCCTGGAGCTGATGGGTTTAGAGGAAGTGATGGGAGCATTAGAAGGACCAGCCTCAACTGGGAGAATAAGTCAGAGTGAGCAGAGATGCTATTAAATATGTAGGCACTTTAGGAATTCATTGACTCAGGAGCCAGGCATCATCAGAATTTCTTCATTTTGAAGGAGGGGCAAAAATCACCATTTTCTATCACCATTAAACCGCTATTCTGAATGATAGAATAAAAAACATATCTGTACTTATGTTTATTTTTCACTTTCATTATGATGCTATATATACAATTATTATCTTTTTAAAATTAAATTTAAAACTAAGATATAAAATAAAATAGGCTCCTTTCCTATTTCTCATGACTAAAAAACTATGATTAAGAATTTCATAGTATTTTTTCAGTCCTTTCTTTAAAAATGGCACTTGTCTTCATAAACATAACTGCACACACACACACACATTCACACATAGAAACAAGATAATATTGTGTTTGATGCTGACATACAAGATGCACCATTTTTAACCTCACTTATTCACTCAGTTTTAAGCTTTTCAGACAAATCTTCATTGGTAGAGATTCAGCTTCTTTCTTTTTCACTGGTGTACTATTACCCATCAGATCTGCCATATTTTTTTTTCTGTTTTATTATGAAGATTCCATTATGAATAACCTTGTATGTTTCCATGTGCACATTCATCAGAGTTTTTCTAAATAAACACCTGTAAGTGAACCAAATATTTGTTTTTTATCTTGAATAATTTCCGTGGAGTAGCTTTCTGTGGTGAATGTCACCAGCAGTGTGAGAAAGCCTGCCACTTCTCATCTTTAGCTACATTGATAATGTCAAGTGTTTTAGTCTTTGCCAAGCTAATATGAAACAATGGTATTTCCTAGTTACAATAAGTTGGCATTTTCCTGATTACCACTGAAGTTGGGCATCTTTTAAAATGTTCATAGCAAGTATAAATTTCTTATTCATGCATTTGCCTGTTAATCTATTGATTGTTTAACTTTTCTTCTTACTTTCAGTTGTGATTTTTGCATTCTGCTTTTTTGGTAGTTATATAGATCACAAATATACCCTCCCAAGTAGTGACTGCTCTTTTAACTGTCTATGGTGTCTTCTTATCATTTAATAGCAGTTTAATAAATTACATCATTTGTTGATCCATTTTTTTTATCTCATTCAGAAAGTATTTTTCTGTCCTAGGTCACGAATATATTCTCAAATATTGTCTTCTGATGAATT